CCTGAAATTCCTTAAGCTTGTTTAAAAGCTGAATTACATAATTCTTATCCGTAAAGATCTCCTTCACAATAAAAATCAGAGAGCGCAAACTGTTAGTAAGATATTTTTGTTGATCTCTGTCAAATTGCTCTGTTAAGGAATTAGTTTCTTCTTTGGAAAATGGATTAGCCTATATGTCCAAAGCTAACAGATTCCTAAGAGCAAGGGGAATCCACGATGCGTTCAGAAAGCTTGTGACTTGCCATTGTCTTCTGGTATCTAGTTCGTTCTCTTTCGTAATTTTTTCCCTGACAGCACTGGAACCACAATATCAAAAACTTCCTGGTGATATATCTAAGATCCGCAATATGAGGGAAGAAAGCAAACGACTCCCTAGTCCCTCCTTAAGCTTGGCCTACTTCCTTGGACTTGTCCTAATACTTTCTTCTCCCATTCTGCAAAGTGCAGCAACTCCTTCACACAGTAGTGTGCCAAAGAAGGAATTTCTGCTTCATTTTTCTTTACTATGAATATCTAGCAAGGATAGCATCACATATGAAAGCTTTCATGGAAAACATGAGGAATTATGCTGGGACCTAAAACTTTGGGACAAAGTTATTTTCACTATTATCCAGGCTACATTTCTTTCTTTCTTTCTTCCATCATCCCACTGAAATTCTTCCTCCACTCAGTGGTATTTGTTAAAATATTGAAGATAGCTTCATGATGTATCTTTAGTGTTAAATGTGTTTCTTATACTAAGATCTTCAAAGGAGTTTAGAAATAAAAAGCTTAGGATCTCTTTTTTGGGGGGTGAAAGAGAAGATGAGAGCCTAAAAAGCTAAATAAAAGATTAGTTACATTTGGCTAATCATAGGTAGACCAGCGATGCATAGGATGACTAGACAAGCAAGTAGTGCAAGCAAAAGAGATGGATTAGATGGAGCAAAATTAATGTGATTAATATGCTTGGATTTTTCTTTTTGAAGTGGATAACTTCAGCCCATATGTAAGTTCACTGCTACCCCATGATAGCATTTCTTTAGCTTTCAGTAAGAACTGCAGATCTTTCCTTTTAGCTTGGGCACAGAATGTTAAAGCTGATGTCGCCGTAAAAATGCAAAAGTCCAAGAGAAAAGCTCTTGCAGCAATAACAACAAAAATATTTCTAAAATGAATAATGATTTGGGGAAAATGCAGCAATGTGTATTTTAGAAAAGCTCAGTTGTGCAATAGATGAGCTGAAATGGAAAGTTAATCTTCCACACAAAATAAAGACAAAGCAAATGGAATGTCTGCTCCAGAGACTCCATGCAGTGTATAGCTGTTCATTTGTCACAAGTGCGAAAATGTTTAATCGGTTTTGAAATGATGTATTCTCTCTTTATTTATCGTGTTTAGTGACTTTAAGAGTGTCAGTAAGTAAAGTGTTTATCCAAGGAATGGATTTCTGGCACATGGATAAAATGAAAAGTGAAATGTTTAGCTCGAAATAGGCACATGTTCCAAGATCTCTCTGAGTAAGTATCCTGAGATGAGAAGAAAGCACACAGGTCTGTGTTTATCTAGCTTACGCAGGCAGACAAGGAAGGCTCCAGCCTGGTATTAACACTGAAGTGACATGGAATGTCTTCACCAAACCCCAAACAATTACATCATTCCCTTAGCAATATTGATAAAGTGCAATAAGAAAGAACCTGGCACTTTCCAATTAGATCCTCATTGCTAAATACTTGAGAAACTGTCAAATACTTCACAAGTTAAAGTAGAAACCACTTTTTTGGGGGGGAGGTGAAGGAAGTGAAAGAGGAAAGGCAGAGGAGGAGGAGAAGAGGTGCTTCTATGTTTTAGGAGTCCATGATTTGGGTTTTTTTTTTTCTTCGTTTTAAATCATGCTAGATTATTTGCCTTTGTCCAAGATACAACGCTAAAATGCTGCATTCACACAGCTGTAAATAATAAACAACTTTACAGCTAAAGTTCACCCTCTTTGAAAACTGGAAGATACAGCACCCTTCTCACCAAGCAAAAAGTTTGTTTCCTCTTTTGTGTATTTTCAATTATTTAGTTTTAAAGACCTCTAATTTTTCAAGAATAATTTTTTTCTAAGTAGAGGAAAAAATTAGCAGCGTTATTGTTTTCAGGAACACTTAATGCAATTTTAGAAGGAGACACACTTTGACCGCAATATCTACAGCAAGTAGTGGCCGAGTTTGCATCAAAGTGAACAGAAGTGAGCTTGACACTCCTCCTCTTGCACCTGATGAAGAAGCAACAGCTAATCAGCCTCATGGAAATACCAGAAACAACATTTGATAAAGCAGAAGCTCATTACTATATGCCTGGCTACCTTCATTCAATTAAATAGCTATGAAGGAATAGCACGTAACTTTATTACTTCGTTATAATACCTTGCCCAGTATTTACTTCTGACCTCCTTGGAATGTTTCCAGATTAAGGACTCATCTATTTTTTAGAACAAAACAAAATCCAAATTGGAACAGTGATTCCTCTTCCACTTGAATAGTTAGTAAGAAAGCTTTTCTGTTCCTCCACCTGCAATGATATGTCCGTCCTTGGATTAACTCCTTGGGATCCATTGACAAATTGAACTGGAGATGTTCATTTTAGACCTGAGAAACATTCAGAACATTTTCAGGTCTTTCTGCTCTCTCTTGCAAAAACTCAAGCATCAGATTCTAAGTACAGTACAGTAGCTACCAGACTAGTCTAATAAGCTTTGGATCTAGCCAAATCGCAAATGAACCATGCCACATTCAGAGGATCTGACATTTGTCAAGAATAATTAATTGCTCTGAATATTGCTTGATTTCTGTCTACTCATATAGTACCTGTGTAAGAAGCAATGCACGTTGAGAATCTCTTAAACATTGCGGAATCTTTTATTTCTGATATTGTTGATAGTATAACACTTCATGAAACAATAACATAGATCACTAGGACACAACAATCTTTTTAATGGTGGCTTGCTTTTAGGTGAAACTATTCACCTTTTTTTTCTTGCTGTGATTCACAGTGAGGGCTGGATAGACAGAAATGCTGCTTGCTATCGTGGCTTTATGTCTGTCAGTGATTTTAATGAATCTGAGAATTTAATATGGTTTCTTGTAAATCTTAGTGCGCTCTGATAGTATATACTTGTTTTATAAAAAGTCAAACAGAACTTTCTGCCTTCTGACATAATTATCAGCTGGAGAGTTTGGGATGTGTATGGCTGGGTATGGAGCATCTTCCCATGTTAGGATGGTTTTTTTATTTGGTTTAATCTTATAATTTGCTCACATTACTTATACATTCCAGTGATTTTTAGGCTTTTAAGTGCTTCCTGAGTGCTATCTCCCAGGCACCTCTACTATTTTCAGAACTTTTAATAACCCATTTAGCAATGCTTTGTGACTTTTTTTGCTGTAGCAACAAACGACATTAATTTTGAATAGGAATGTTTACCTTTAAATTCCCTGCAAAAAAAAAAGTGCCCTAACACAACACACTTTGCAGACTTCCATTGGCTTCACTGAACGTTCAGACTTGGAGAGGAACAAAGCCTGACACCTGCTCATGAGCTGACAAGTTGATGAAACAGCAGACAGTATGGTACAATGGCACTGCTGAAAAGCAGCACCTAAAAATGTAGCACCTAAGTCTGATAATCCTTTAAAACAGTAGATGTGCCTCCCACCTCTCTCCCCTCCACACAATGGTTTGGATTTTTTTCAAAAACTGAACTGTAAAGTTAAAGTGAAAATTGAGGTAATGATTGAAATAAAGTGGTGAAAAGCTCGGAATGGATAGGTATTTAGTAGAAAAAAAAAATACTTTTTA